ACTTTTTTTATATCAAGAGTCAGTTGTATTTATTAATATTTTGTATATTATTTTTGTGTAACCGTGATAAACTTTTGAAGCCGACTGTATAACTAAAATTACTAATAAAGATATGAGCAAGGCCTCACCTTAATACCAAAAAAAAAATTAATAATTAATTAATTTTAAATAAATTAGTAATTATGATAGTTTATCTGTATGATTAATAATAAGATTAATACTTTTAAGTAGAATTTGGTAATGCAATTATAATTTTAATAATGCATTATATATATATTAATAAAACTTTCTAATGTATAGTGCACTGTAATAATAAGATTAATCCTTAAACAATATCTTAATAATAGTTATACAAATCATTAAAATTTTTAATATAATTAATATAACTATTAAAATTATAGGTCATATAGTTAAAATTATATTATATTGTTATATAGACTAATATTTTTTGTTAACTTGAATTATATTTTAAACTAGATTGTAGTTAGAACAACATTATACTGTATTATTTAATTTAAATTAAAAATAATATTAACAATCTATCTGTAATTTTAATCTTATATAATCTATAATTATGATAACTATTTTGATTATGTCTGAATTCTTAATACTAAAATTTCTAATATGTATACATGTATATATGTATATTAACAAAATATAAATTGCATCAAAAAACTTATAAGACTAATATTGAACAACTTATTATCTACTATAAATATAGAGACTTGTTAATGCTACCCCCTATTTTTGTTAATGCCACCCCTTACATAATCTAACCTTAATTAATAATTAGGGTCTGAAAGGTCGGAGATTAAATATTTTATATAAAGGGAGTGGCATTAGCAAAAGTAGGGGGTGGCATTAACAAATCTCTAAATATAATATCATTGCTATAATAATCTAAACTAGGATCTATTTTAAGACTCAGCCTAATCTGCATTTAGATTAAAATTTTTTTATCAACCTAACTTACAAAATTTATTATAAAATTTTAAGAATTTTTCAACTTAACCTGACTTGTAATTATAAAATTTTGCTTCAGATCTGGTCTAGTTTACAAAAATTTACAAGCAGAACTAAGCTGTAAAACTCAATGCAAGTCATTAATCTAAATCTTAATATTGATAAGATTTTGATTCAGACATAAAAAGACTTAGTTTAAATAATTAGGATTATAGATTGTATAACAGTAGTAGTAGTTTCAAATAAGTATTCTTTCTTATTCTATATCTTATATTTAGAGCACTAGTTTATTATTAACTGTAATTATTTCCTTTTAGGTTTTGAATCGATAGTTTTAATCATGAACTTGTTATGATGGTCACATAATTACAAGCACAATTCAGAGTAATTACATAGGTATTGATCTCAAAGATTTTCTAGTTATGAAAAAAATAAGATGTCAGATCATGTGAGTTTCGAAGAATCCAGTCTGATATCTAAAAATCAAAACAATCAAAAACAACATATAAATAAAAGAAAAAAAATATATATTTAGGGTTAAAAAATTGTAGTTTATAATAAAATTTTGTAAGAAAAAAATTTAATTAGAGTGCAGAAGGTAATTTAATAAGAGCTATTTCAATTTTTGAGAAAACTTTGTTGTTTTTGTTAAATTTCATATTACACCAGATCTGAATTTTGATTGGTAGATGATCATTCAGAGAGTCAGAAATCACATGATCTGACACCTCATTTTCATCATAGCTAGGGTATTTTGATCTTAAATAATGAGATAATTACAAACTTAATTAGTTTATAATTTAGTATATAAGAGTTCTGATTACTAGTGATTGTAAACCTTTTTACCTAAAAGGATGTGACCTTTAATAACTAGGTTTATACCCCAATAAAATAAGAGGGAACAGTTACAAGAACCTGTAAAATTTTAGTTTTAAAAATTCAAAATTTTTTTTGATAACAACAAAAATTTTAACCAAATTTTAGTATAAATTTAACAAATTTTAAATAAATTTTAATTTAAATTTAATAAATTTAGATAAATTTTGATTTAAATTTAATAAATTTTAGATAAATTTTATTTAAATTTAATAAATTTTAATTTAATATTAAAAAATTATGATATTTCATTCTTTTGTTTTATTAAAATACAACATCATAAGCATTTTCAATAATTTAGTACTTAAATTTTGCTGATTGTCTCGAAGAATATTATTATAAGCAGAAAAGCTATGCTCAACTGCACAAGATGAGATTAGCAACCAAATATAATCAAGAGCTATTTGATATAAAAGAGGAAGTCGAAAAGAAATTTTATCCCAAAAAATATTTAATATAATAAAATCAATAAGATTTAAATCTAAATTACAATAAAGTAACTATTCAGAAAAAAGTTCTGTAGAAGGTTGAAATAATTCAGAAATATCATTAGTATAATTATATAAATCACAATTTGTTATAACAAGAGAAATGAATTTAGAATCAAAAATTTGTGTACTTTTAAATAAAGAATAACAAGGATGCTTTAAAAGATAAACATCAAATTTTTTTAAAGCAGCTTTAAAAGTATTTTAAAATACAAAAGAAAAACATGTATTTTGAGTTTGATATTTGTTAAAACAAACATTAATTTCTTTACTAAATTGTGAATTTGTAGTTTCAGATTTAAGAAAAATTTCTAAATACTGAATACATTGCTTAATAAAAGGAGAAATTGGTTAACATTCAGATTGAAAATAATCAAGAGTTGAAATAAAAAATGATACATACCTTTTAATAAAAGTAAGATAAATTTCTAAATATGCATTTTCATTGAAGTCATTAAAAAATGAAACAATTTCATTAATAGTTTTATTCATTTCAATTTCATTTTTTTTTTTACAAAAACCCTGAATATATTTCAAATAATTGCAAACATGAATTCTGTTTCAAACTAGGAATTCCAATATATACTAACAGGTAATGGCATAAATTGTAGAGTAATTTGATTTTTAATTAAATTAGACTCTAATTGATTATATTCTTTTACACCATATTGTTTTAAATAAATCATATATCTATTATGATGATTTTTAGAATGTAAAAAAAATTTTTTAAGATTTGATATTAATTTTTTTACACTAACAAAGTCTTTATTTGATAACCATGCTTTATTAAATATATATAATTTAATTATTAAATTTAGTATTGATATATATATATTAATATATTAAAAAATTAATTTTACCTAATTAAGTTTAAGATATGTGCTAAGCAGGTATTATGTTTGATTTGAAGCATTACTTAACTAAGAATTTCATGACAGCTTTTTTTATATATGAAGCTAAGTCAGAATTAATTAAACAAGATACTGAAAATAGAATTGACTATTCTGTAAGAAGCCAAAAAACAAGACTACTAATTGTAGAATTATTGATATTTAATATAATCAACAGAAACCAATCTTATAACTTGATGATAGAAAAATAAAGTATTAACTATACTATGTTCTCAAGAGTCAGTAGTTTCGTCAATAATGATTGATATATGTTTAGATTTAAAAAAATCTTTTAATATCATTTTATGGAAATTAAATACTTTTTTAAGATATTGTCATCTTAAAGTATTAGCACAAAGGATTATACCACCCTTACAGCAATATTTTTAAAAAAAATCATGCATCTTGTCAATTTTTTCTAATAGAATATTGGCTGCAACTCATGCTTTCAATAGATCTGTAATTATAAGTTTTTTAATTTCAGTATTTTTCATTGCACTAATAATAGTTTATTGTTTGTCTATTTGATTATTTTTAAGATATCGTTCATGCTTAGTTTTATGGGATTTTGAAGCAAGATGAGAGGTAACAGAAATTCTATTTTCAAAACTAATACTTTTGCTACAATAATAACACATAAGAAGTCCATTATTAGCAAAAACATCAGGTTCAAATTTAGCGACATGAGAAACAGCTGTAATTTTTAAAAATAACATATTGAGTTTATATTTTATTTGAGTTTTGTTAAACTTTATAAATAAAAAAAAAATAAAGTATTCTTAAAAACTTTTTTAAACTATTATTAATCCAAATTTTATTAATCACTTCTTTTATATCTTTTATACTCATTCACAAAATTTTTTATTACTTACTATCGAATCTAATTTGTATTAAATAAAAAAAAATTTTAGAATATTATAACATTTTTTTTTTTTTTTTTTTTTTTTTAACCTTAAGCAGTTATGCTAGTACTTTATTAAGATTCTTGAAACTATATATC